ATTTAAAAAAACAAACAACTTCTAGAGGACTTTAATGGAGAGATTGACAACAATACAGTCATAGTAGGAGACTTTAACACCCCTCTGACTTCCCTGGACGGATCTTCCAGACAAAAACTTAACAAGGAAACAGAGACTCTAGAGGACACACAGGATCAGATGGATTTAATAGACATTTATAGAGCATTTCACCCCAACGCAGCAGAATACACATTCTTCTCAAGTGCACGTGGACCATTCACAAAAGTATGGAGTTTCCTCAAAAAATTTAAAATGGAACTCCCGCCGAACCGGTCTGGCTCAGTGGATAGAGCATCGGCCTGCAGACTGAAAGGTCCGAGGTTCGATTCTGGTCAAGGGCATGTACCTTAGTTGCGGGCACATCCCTAGTAGGGGGTGTGCAGGAGGCAGCTGATCGATGCTTCTCTCTCATTGATGTTTCTAACTCTCTATTTCTCTCCCTGTCTGTAAAAAATCAATAAAATATATTTTTAAAAAAATAAAAAAAAATAAAATGGAACTCCCATTTGACCCAGTGATCCCACTTCTAGAAATATATCCCAAGAAATCAGAAGCACCAATCAGAAAGGACATATGTTCATAGCAGCACAATTCACCATAGCTAAGATCTGGAAACAGCCTTAGTGCCCATCAGTAGATGAATGGATTAGAAAACAGTGGTACATCTACACGATGGAATACTATGCTGCTATAAAAAAGAAGGAACTCTTACCATTTGCATCAGCATGAATGGACCTGGAGAGCATTATGCTAAGTGAAATAAGCCAGTCGGAGAAAGATAAATATCACATGATCTCACTCATTTGTGGAATATAATGAACAACATAAACTGATAAACAAAAATAGAGCCAGAGGGGGGGGAAATATTCTAGAATATAATAGAAGTAATCCTGTTATTTGCTGATTTTTAATATTTCCTACAACTTTTGTGATACCATACTATGTTAGCACAGTTTTGGTAATATTATTATATTTAAAATCCTTTTATTCTTGAAATATTAAAGTTTATTGCATGTAATATTTTTACATGTAAGATCGTTTTTCTTGAAATTAAAAAAAAACTGAATAAAATAAAAACTAAAACTACAGCCCAGCCTGGCCTGCATGGCTCAGGGGTTGAGCATCGACCTAGGAACCAGGAGGTCACAGTTCCATTCGCGGTCAGGGCACAGGCCCGGGCTGCTGCTGGACCCCCAGTGTGGGGCGTGCAGGAAGCAGCTGATCAATGATTCTCTCTTGTCACTGATGTTTCTATATCTCTCTCCTTCTCCCTTCTTCTCTGAAATCAATAAAAATATTTTTAAAAAAATAAAACTGCAGGGGAGAGGGGACAGAGCTGGGGGGACTGCAGCCCAGGGAGGGGCTGGGGCGGACAGAGGGGGAAGGGCCCAATGGTGACAGGAGAATGGACTTGGAGTGGTGAGCACACAATGTTGTCCTGCAAAGGTGTGTACCTGAAACATGTTATTAACCAGTTACCCCAGGAAATTACTATAAAAGCACACACACTGCGGTCCACCACAGCCTTCCTGTCTCCCTCCTTTACTTTTCTCCATGGGCACCTACTGCCTTCAATATATTTGTTTATTTTTTTAAAATATATTTTATTGATTTTTTACAGAGAGGAAGGGAGAGGGATAGAGAATTAGAAACATCAATGAGAGAGAAACATTGATCAGCTGCCTCCTGCACACCTCCCACCGGGGATGTGCCCGCAACCAACGTACATGCCCCTGACTGGAATCGAACCCAGGACCCCTCAGTCCACAGGCCGATGCTCCATCCACTGAGCCAAACCGGCTAGGGCTATTTGTTTATTTTTATTGTCTCTCTTATTCAATTAGACTGTCCCTGAAGACTTTACATTTGTTTGGTTCAGTGGGCTAAGAAGCATGCCTGGCATATAGTAAGTATTCAATAAATATTGTGAATGAATGTATGAATGAAGAAATGAATTCTCCCCCCCAGGCAATGAGACCATTGGAAGTGCAGGGTTGCAGCTTTCTTCCAAGGAGAGAGGCAGCTACAATGGAGGGAAATCAGGAAGTCAGAGTCCCTCCAGATCTCCCGCCTGCGGGGTCAGGAGGGGATGAGAAGCGAGAACTCCCAGCAGCAGAAGGGGACAGGTGAGGGGAGGAGGGGGAAAGGTGTCTTCAGTGCTGGGGCCCGGGACATGGAGTCTGGGTAGGGAGTCTGGACAAAAGGGTCTCAGCGAGGGGGACACACTGTCCCCCCTCCCCCATCCCCTAGCAGTGACCAGCCAAACAGGGCAGCAAGGGAGATGAAGGGTTTGCTGAGGGAGGGCATTTATCAGGGCTACTCATCCTCTGTTGAACCCATGGCAGCGACCAGCACAGACACACACACACACACACACACCCCTAATGTCTGCCTCTCACCCTGGCTCGTGTCCATAAATGCTGTCTCTCTCAACACCACTTTCAGTTCCTCCAAAGAATCTACTCAAATTCCTGAGTTCTGTAGATTTTACTAAAACATGCAAAGGGGATAAGATGAGGTTACATCGTACATTCTAAAGCAAACACGTTAAAATGCCTTTGTTAGACATTTCTGTATTTCCAAGGGCCTCTCGAGCTGCTGAGCTGGGAATGAAGTTTTGCTGCCTTTCCAGACCCTGCACCCATGTGGCCACCCTCCCGGCCCTCCCACAGCACAGACAGATCCAGCCGGCACCCCCCCTCCCCGTGGCTCCCTGTGTGAGACCCTGAAACCCACCGGAGGCCGGCCTCAGTCACCTGAACCTCCGACCGGGTTTAAAGACCACCTGTCCCTGACAAAGATGTCCCAGGGGTCTTCCTGCTTCCCCCACACCCCGCGGGCTTTCAAGATACTCCTTTCACGCACACGCAGGGCTCTCCTTACGAGGAATTTGAAAGAATGTCGTTTTCTCATTTCCAATCTACACTCAGCTCCCCTTCCTCCTGGAGAGCCAGTGGAAGGAATTCTAAGGACAAAATAGGCAGGTTTAGGGAATAAAGAGGGTCCATGGGGGAGGAATGCGTATGTGAAGGACTAGGTAACTCTGGCCTGAACAGCTTGGAGATGCCAAATTCTTATCTTACTTGTACAAAGGACAGAAAAAGGCCACAGGATAAGGGGAGGAGGAAGACATACATTCACAGAGGATAAAGAAAAGTCACAGGATAATGGAAAGAAGGAAACATTGTCACAGAGAATAGAGGAATGTTGCAAGATAAGGGGAGAGAAAGAAGGGTCACCACTGGGCTTTGGCCTTTGAAACTGATACTATGCAACAAAATAACCAAGAGGAAAGCATGGGGGTCCTAAACTAATGAACGGTCCAATTAGAAGGGGTCAGGTTCAAATGAAGAACTGCAGCATGCATAAACCGGAGGGAAAGGGGCAGGAGGCGAGATTGTTTTTATTTTTCCCATTAGACAGAGAGCAGGCTTTTCCCATTTGGGGGCCCCTCTTCAGGGGGTCTCTTTTGGGGACACCTCTGCCCAGATGGAGTTTATATATTAGTGGTTCTCAACCGTCCTAATGCCGTGGCCCTTTAATACAGTTCCTCACATTGTGATGACCCTCAACCATAAAATTATTTTCGTTGCTACTTCATAACTGTAATTTTGCTACTGTTATGAATCAATGTAAATATCTGAGATGCAGGATATATTTTCATTGTTACAAATTAAACATAATTAAAGCATAGTGATTAACACATATATGTGTTTTCCGATGGTCTTAGGTGACCCCTGTGAAAGGGTCGTTCGACCCCCAAAGGGGTCGTGACCCACAGGTTGAGAACTGCTGTTATATATGCTTCCAATAAGCTTCTACATTTTTTAAAATGTATTTCTTTATTGATTTCAAAGAGGAAGGGAGAAGGGGAGAGATAGAAACATCAATGATGAGAGAGAATCATTGATTGGCTGCCTCCTGCACACCCCATACTGGGGATGGAGCCCGAAACCCAGGCATGTGCCCTTGGCTGGAATCGAACCTGGGACCCTTCAGTCCACAGGCTGATGCTCTATCCACTGAGCCAAGCCGGCTAGAGCAACTTCTACATTTTTTTTTCATTTTTTTTTTAATATTTTATTGATTTTTTACAGAGAGGAAGGGAGAGAGATAGAGAGTTAGAAACATCGATGAGAGAGAAACATCAATCAGCTGCCTCCTGCACGCCCCCTACTGGGGATGTGCCCGCAACTCAGGTACATGCCCTTGACCGGAATTGAACCTGGGACCCTTCAGTCTGCAGGCCGACGCTCTATCCACTGAGCCAAACCGGTTTCGGCATCTTCTACATTTTTATTGAAGAAATCTGTTAGGCCACGAATTTATTCTTCATCTTCATCAGACAGGAACCCATGAGAAGAAATCTGTACCCCGAACCCCATGTTTCACTAGTGTCAGCACAAGCTGATGAGGAAGTGAGGCCTGGAACTGGAGGAGGAGGAAATGAGGGAAAGGGAAGTTTGGGGGGGCAGCCTCCCAGGAGGCCGTGGGAGAGGAGAGCCACCAGAGACACAGCAGCTTGTCT